CTAAAGACTGATGATCAGTAAATGATCTGAGTATACAAACCATGTATTGTGGGCAGCACCAAGCTAGGATAACTCAAAATGCATTGATCAGAAAAATATTTAGTTCTATGCAATACTTTATCATTTATTCTTGCGGCATTTGATTAATATTTATAATGTAGCTCCTCATTCTTGAAACACATTGCAATGTATTGGGCTGTGTGGGCTAGTGTGTACATGTAGCCCTGGCTTCTACTCTATGGAATCAGAATTTCTCACGGGCATATCACAGGCTGAATGCTGCTAACATCGACTGGAGAGTCTCCTTTAGTTTAATTGGTAGGGGGCCTGTGCTTTTGGAGCAGGAGAATCTGGGTTTTGATCCCACTCTGCCACAAAGTTCCATGTAGCCCTGGTGGGCAGCAAAGGGGCAGCTGTGAAGCTTCTAGCTGACCAGTGGTTAGTTACGGTATTAAAGAGGGACCCAAACCAGAACCCCAAGTCCAACCCCTCCTAAGCTTCCTGAATCCAACTTCAACCCATTAGCTCTAACTCCCTGGAACATCCTGAACCCTAGGAGCTGGAGAAGGTTCATATCCAGGCCCAAACCTTTCTCTGAGGTTTTCAGCCCATCACTAATAATTACGTACATTTTTTCTGTATCCTACCACAAAATAAATACCAGGCCTAACCGCAGGGGGTTGTGTATTGGGTAACGACTGAAGCTATTTCTTCTGCTCTGTTGTAATATCTTTTCCACTGCCTCGTGTGTAATATATTAAACAAACTGGTTTATTGTCATCTATAATTGCCTTGGTGGCAGTTTCATAGGGTTACCATTCGTCCGGATTCCCCCGGACATGTCTGGCTTTTTCGGGTTAAAAATAGCATCCGGGGGGAATTTGTCAATGTCCGGACTTCCCCTCCTCCTCCCCCCCCATGCAGAGCGTGCGCGCGGCTTACAGAGCAGCCGGGGCTCCGACAGCCAAAGCCAGAGCGGCACTTCCCCCCTCCTCCCTCCTGAAACTTGACACCACTCCCCTCTTCTCCCTCCCTCCCTCCCCCGCCCTCCCTGCACTCACAGATCGCCGG